ATAGAATAGGGAGCCAGAAACAAATCCATGCATTTACTGCCAATTGTTCTTTTATAAAAATGCCAAGAACATACAGTGGAAGAAGTACAGTCTAACAAATTGTGTTGGGAAAGCTGAAAATCTATGCATAAGAATGTCAGTGGCCCCCTTTCAACATCGTGCACAAAATTCATGCAAAATGAAGCAAAGACTGAAAAGTAAGATTTGAAGTCATAGAACACTAGAAGCAAACAGGTAATTTCTTGACATTGTTATTAGCAAGAATTTTTGTATATAACTCCAAAGGGATATGAAATAAGAGCAAAGCTAAGACAAATGGGATTGCATCCGAAACCTATGAAGCCAAGGAAACAATCCACAGAGTACAGCAGGAGTGTACACAGCAGGAAAAATATTTGCAAACTGTACATTGGACAAAAGGGTTCATAACTACATGTATAAGGAACTCAAACCTCCATGGCAGGAAAATAAACTATGCTATTAAGAAAATGCATAGAGGGCTGGAATAGATATCTTTCAAAGGAAGAAATATGAATGACCAACATGCATATAAACCCTCAACACAACTAATCGTCAGAGAGACATCAAATAAAACTGTGATAAGACACAGCCTTGTATCTGCTAGACTGGCCATTATATACAAAAGACTGAAGATAGTTGTAGTGAGAATGAGGCACAAAAGGAACCTTGTGCACTGTTTGTGAGAATATATGCTAGCTCATGCATTATGGGAAACATTAAGAAGATTCCTTAAACACTTAAAATAGGGGCTGGAAAGATAATGTAATGGTTAAGGGTATTTACTGTTCTTGCAGAGGACCTGAGCTAGGTTCCCACCACTCACACTGGATAGTTCATAATCAGTCTCTAAGGGATTCAACACTCTTCAGGCATCTAAGAGCACCTGTACTCATGCCTACACACACACACATAATTAAAAATAAAATAAATCTTTCAAAATTAAAAAATAGAATTATTATGTGATTCAGCATTGACACTTTCAGGTAGTTTCATAACAGACAAGGTCAACTTAAGCATCCATCAGCCCAAATATCCATTAAGGAATGAATGGACAAAATCATTCTCTCTCTCTCTCTCTCTCTCTCTCTCTCTCTCTCTCTCTCTCTCCCTCTCTCTCTCACACACACACGGTTAAAAATGGAAGACATACCAAGTGAAACAAGCCAGATCCAAAAAGACAAACGCTGCCTTATCTCACTTGTAGTCACAATTTAAAAAACTGAACTTAGATGTAGAATAGCTGAGAGCAGGGGCTACAACCTGGACGCTAATGGAGATGAGGGAATGTTGGTCACAGAGTACAAAGCATCTACACAAATACATTCCAGGGAGTCAGTTGTCTAGCAGATGACTAGCTAACAATAATATATCATGGAACTGAAATTGTTAAAGATTTTAAATGTTCTCACTCACACAAAAAGATAAATGTGAGATGATGGGTATGTTAGTTAGCTTGATTTAATTATCTCTCAACATACACATATATCAAAACATCACATTATACATTATCAACATACACATACCCTTTGCCAATTAAAAAAAAATAAATTCGCTGGGCGGTGGTAGTGCACGCCTTTAATCCCAGCACTTGGGAGGCAGAGGCAGGCGAATCTCTGTGAGCTTGAGGCCAGCCTGGTCTACAAAGTGAGTTCCAGGAAAGGCACAAAGTTACACAGAGAAACCCTGTCTCAAAAAATAAAAAAAATAATAAATTCTTTTTTTTTTTTAATGTTTTTGCTACCTCAGTAAGCTTTAAGTAATCAGTCCCCATCTTTTTCTCTCTATGAAACCATTCTAAACTGTCTCAGGTAAATTTATTTCAATCTCTTTTCCCATGGTGTCTTTTCATATTTGCTAAATTGTCTCCTATAAGGTATGTCTATTGTTGTTGTTGTTAGGCTCTTTTTGGGGAGGCGCCACTCAGCTCCCAAATAAATCACACACACACAGAGGCTTATTCTTAATTATGAATGCCTGGCCTCTTTTGGCTTAGTTTCTAGCCAGCTTTCCTTAACTTAACTTATCCAGTCTGTCTTTTGCCTCTGGGCTTTTCCTTTTCTCTAACTTCTGTAAATCTCTTACTTCGTGACTTGCTGTGCATGTAGTTAGGTGGCTGGCTTCTGGAGTCGTCTTCCTTCTCTGGCTGCTAGATCTTAGATCTTTCCCCAATTTTCTCCTTCTATTTATACTCTCTGCCTGCCAGCCCCACCTGTCCTTTCTCCTGCCTTGCTATTGGCCAGTTCTTTGTTAGACCATCAGGTGTTTTACACAGGCATAGTAACACAGCTTCACAGAGTTAAACAAATGCAACATAAACAAAAGTAACACACCTTAAAATAATATTCTACTGCATAAGTCCACATGTTTGTTAATTTCTGTACATTTGGCTCCCTGAGAAAATTGTTGTAAACAACATTTTTGTATCTTCCTTTTGTAATATATTAGCAATAATCAATTCCATTATTATTAAGATAAATTAAAATAGCACATCATCTTCATCAGAATGACCAGTAGAGTGAACCTATTTTGGTAAACATACTGTAAAAATTGTTTTGCCTTTTAAAATTCAGTGTGCTTGTGCATGCCACAGCTTGCATATGGAGGTTAGAGGTCAGCTTGTGGGGCACAGTTCTTCCCTTCCACAATGGATTCTGGGGTTTGAACTCAGTCATCAGGCTTGGCAGCAAGTGCCTTTATCTGCTGAGCCATCTTGCTGGCCCCAAGACATACCTTTTAATACACATGACGAAATGTGAATGGCCAAAAGAATAAAATATTTAAAAATAGAATTTAATATTTAGAAAATGAAAGTATGAAGGAACAGTCAAATGGTAGAAACCAATCAATTGTTCAAGGCTTCAAATATGAACATTAAATTTGTCTTAAAATGTCAAGCAATTTTAGAAAAGAATAATATTTTTCTGTGAGACTGAGAGACTGCCATTGGCAAGATAGTGGGAAAAGGTGCTTGCTGCACCAACTGGACGACCTGAGTTTAATCCCTGAACTGTACTTAAAAGAAGAACGAGGGAACTGACTCCATGAAGTTGTCTTCTGACCTCCACATGCACTGTGCCTCAACTACTCCTCATACACACACCATTATACTAAATTTAAAATGTCAAAGCCCCCCCCCCAAAAAAAACCCAACCCTGAAGGGACTACAAATTAAAATGGCTATCATATGACAATCTGATAGCAACTGAAATAAAAAAATTAAAACTTAAATGAAAAAATTAGATGTGGAAAATAGACAATTTAAAAGAGAAAATATATCAGTAAACAGTATTCAAATAAAAATAAATTTGAAACACAGATATTAGAATAAGTATAATTTTGTACAGTAGCAAAATTCCAACTTCATCTGTTAAATCTTCAAGTAGTTTTGCTGACAATACTCCACAATTAGCCCAAAATATTTAAACTGATAGATTTGGGGAGAGAGATTTAGTCTTCTGAGATATGTGAGGATAACCCCCTTCTCTGGCTGAGTATGCAGTCATCCAAAGTCATTAAACAAAGATGGAGTCTTCATGGTTCTTTCAATTGGGCAGCTAACTGATTCTATGACATATATGATGCCATACAGTTACTTTTCCATAATTACTTTGTACCAGAAAACTATTTGAAAACAGATGAAATAGCATGTTGAGGCTACTAAAAAGCAAAACTCAAATGACCCAGTGGACAAACACAGTAGCTTTCTGACCCTGGCCCCTCTGTGCCATTTCAACCTGCTGTCACAGGAACCTGTTGGGTAAATACACACCTCTGTAGGCAAGCGAGACTCCCAAGACCTGAAAGGATCTGAAATTGGGGGTTACAGTTTCTTTCCATTAATTCATCATTCAGATGCTTACAGTGGCATTTATTGACTGGTAAGTAAATACTTCATTCAATTAAATCTTTCTCTTGGCATTCTAGAAAAAGGTCATTAGCTATAACTCTTCTAATTTGTCTGCTGTAATGACCAATGAGACAGGTGTAGCATGAAAGTTAGTCATATATGTTGCTGGTGACAATTTAAAATTTTACTTTTGGACATATTTGGCAGCTGGGCATGGTGGCTCATGCCTTTAATCCCAGCACCTAGGAGGTAGAGGCAGGTGGATCTCTGTGAGTTTGAGGCCAGGCTGGTCTACAGAGTGAGTTCCAGGATAGCCAAGGCTACACAGAGAAACCCTGTCTCAGAAAAAGAAAGAACGTATTTGGCAGTCAAAAATGTCACCTTCTTTGACTGGTTGGTACTTACTTCAGTAATGTGTGATTGTGTAATTTCATTCCCAGGAACCTACCATAAAAAGGTAATTCTATACACGAAAATCTGGGATATATCTAATCATTATGTACAATGATAAAAAGTAAATATATTATGGCTATCTAATATCATAGGGCCCAAGGCCCATGGTGTTTTCTTGATGGGATAGAACAAACTCAATAAAAATAAAGATCACAAAAATTATTTAGCAAGCTTTAAATAGTTATAGTATAGAGTACAGTTGCAAAAATGTGTTAAGACTATATATTTGGTGCAATTGCAACTTAGTAAAAAATACAAATGAGAGATAACAGAGGGACCATAAAACATACAGTACTATAAAATAAAATTAAAGTGAGAAAATAATCTGACATATTTGCTTTGTTTTCCAGATTTTGTACAATATAGGGAGATGATTTTCATAAAGAAAAGATAGATGAAGGGATAGTAAGGTGACAAAATTTAGATTCAACAATGAAATACATATTTATTATACCTACTTAATTTCAAGCCAATGATTCCGAAAGAAAGCATCTGCTGGCAGCAGTGGTCACACTATGTGAAAATCAATCCCTCTCATTCCCTAACTGAAAGCGAATTAGAATTGATTTCTAACAGGTAATTTTATCATACTGAAAGGTATAAAATGGGTCATACTAATTGATATTGAAAGCAAGCTTTCTTAACTGCTGTTAGTAAATGTGTCCTTTCAATACTTCAGTTTTTGTTTCGCTTTAACAACCCCATCACTCTGAGACAATGGCACATCTTCAAGGAGTTTTTGCACTCCGAAGGGCTTCCGAACACATCAGCCCCAACAGCAGAGGTGGAGCTGATGGTCATGGACATCCTGGAGAAGCTAAACCAGCAGATCCCACCCAGACCCTTTGCCAACCTCAGCACCACCACCAGCGCCAAAGAGAGCACGGCCACCATCCTCAACCCTCGTGGCAAATACTGCATAGGTGACCAGCTGGATGTCCTGCTGGTAGCCAAGGACCACTTTGGTCACAGGAAGGAGTATGGTGGGGACTTCCTGAGAACCAGGATATTCTCCCCAGGCCTGAAAGCAGGTGCTTCTGGAAAGGTGACAGACTTCAACAATGGCACCTACCTTGTCAGCTTCACTCTGTTCTGGGAGGGCCCGGTCTCCCTGTCTATTCTTCTAATGCATTCCAGTGAAGGGGTGTCAGCTCTCTGGAGAGCAAGGAACCAAGGCTATGATAGAATAATCTTTACTGGCCAGTTTCTTAATGGCACCTCCCCTGTTTTCACTAAATGTGGCCTGACCTTAAACACAGATGCCGAGCAGTGTCAATATCTGGATGCTCGGGATAACGAAGCCTTCTATTGCTTGAAGCCTCCAAATGTTCCCTGCGAGGCTCTGACCCACATGAAAACCAAGAATAGTAATGTCTCCTACCTCAGCACTAAGGAACACCTACTTTTCCAGAGGTAAACATGGCTTCAAATTCATTAAGGGCTACCAAAAGATAGACTTTGGATCTGACCAAACTGTTGAATATATTAAATTTGACTAACCAAACTGTCATGTTAGTGTGGACTAAGTCATAATTAGGTCCATCCTCCAGAGGTAGCCCAGCAGGCATCCTGGGTGACCTCTGGGACCCCTGGCTGAAAGGAACACAGCAGTGAAGTGCCTTACACAAGTATATACATCTTGTTTTCCATGGTGGAAGGTAATTCCAGTAACTCTTTTTATGCACCAGTATTGCCTATAATGTATTCATGAAATACTGTCGCACATACTATTAATTAAATGAGTAGGATCATTTCTCGGTTTACTTTACCCTTTAATCCAATCGATCATCAAATCCTATAAATTGTACCTCTGAACTGTCTCCTGAACCCACTCATTTTTGTCTGTCACTGTTGCCTCTCTCTAGGATGAGCTCTCATCAGACTTCAATTAGACTCTGTCAGTGATCTCAGGGGCTGTTCTTTGTGTCCTCCCTCATGTTTCTAAAGCACATATATAATATTAATACGTATCAGCGCTTCTTTGCTTGAAATCATTGCTATGGCCGCACAGCTCTAAAGATGAATTAGGTCTCTAACCTGTTTGCACTCTTCATGCTGTTTTCCTCTCTGTCAATCAAGCTGAACATTTATTTCACAATTTGCATTCCCAAGCCCTGGATTACTTGCTGTTGTTTCCAGGAAGTGTTCTGTGTCACAGCGAGAAGGGCTAGTCCTTTGTTCCAACTGCATGCTGTTCTTTCGCAACATGCCATTATACTGTTCATGTTCTGAGAAGGAAGAATTGTGAGAATGTGTTTTCCATGTCCATGCATCCATTCGTTCAATCAGTCTATAAAGAGCACTTTGTACATCCCACACAGAGTTCTAGGGAGTGGTCATTCTCGTAAGACAAAAAGACAATGGGCAAGTAAGTAAATATGTAGCAGGAATCCCTGGGTAATGGATTCAAAGATGACATTGACATTACTTTAAAATAATAATCGGGTCAGATACTCTCTTCCCCACCATGTCTCCATGATCATGTTTCCCCTTCAATCCTTTCTTCAACTTCATTCCTGTTTCTCCTGATCAAAATCTGAAAAATAAAAACCCCTTTATCTTATTATTTTGGCCAAAGAAGTTGGTCTTTTCCAAATAAAAATTTTACTAGTAAATAATAAAATAAGAGCTGTCTAGAGCAGCAACCCAAACAAAGTAAGGGGCCAAGCCCTGTGAGCAAAGGGGAAAATACTATTCAAGAGTGGGAGGGGCCCAGGGCAAGAGCATGCTGGGGACTTCAGGAACTGGTAGTAAGGCAGGCAGAGCCTCTGAAGTCATCTATGGGGCAGGGAGCCACTGAGGGCCACGGGCTTAGTTCAGTGACATTAAGACCAGCACTCAAGAGGCAGAGCCAGGCGGATCTCGGTGAGTTCGAGGCCAGCCTGGGCTACCAAGTGAGTTCCAGGAAAGGCGCAAAGTTACACAGAGAAACCCTGTCTTGAACAAACAAACAAACAAAAACAAACAAACAAACAAACGAGGGTCTCAGTGACTGTGCTGAATGCAATAACAAGTAAAATGTAACCTGAAAATGACAGAATCATTTTTTTTTCTCAGAAACTTGAATTTTGTGTCCATTAAACCAGATTTAATACTTTCCAGGCTAAACTGATGACTCATTTTAAGAGCCTTCAGGTCCACAGTCTGGGAACTACTGCTGTTAGAAGGCCTTGTTTTCATGATATGTGTCCAGGAGAGCAAACTGGACAGAACAGAATCCTGGAAATTCAAGTTCAAATGTGAGAACTCTTTCTACCTACAAGACTCCCTTTCTCCCCCTTTCCCACTGTTACTTGTTCCTCCCCCACACACCAAAAAAAATGCATGGGATAATCCACACCTTTATCTTCTGGGTCAGGTAAAAGAGACTGGGCCTTTTCAATTTTTTTTTTTTAATTTAAAAAAAATGATCATTAATGGAGCTGGAGGAGATATGGCTTAGCAGTTAAGAGCACTTAATGCTCTTCAGAGGATCTGGATTCATGTTTCAGCACCCACGTGGTGGCTCACAATCATCTAGAACTCCAGATCCAGGGATCCAATGTTATTTTCTGGCCTTCATGGGCACAGATATACATGTAGAAAAAACATGCACACACATAAAATAAAACAAAAATTAAAGTTACAAAGAGAAAAGAAAAAAAGAAAAATGATCATGAGGACACAGGAAGAGGTATTCTTGTCTTGACTATCTCAGAACCATCTCTTCCTCTCAGAGTAGGGGTCATTTGTGTGTCATTTCTGCCTTTCTCACTGGCTACATCTCAACCTTTCTTAAGGTAGACTTCGTTAAGCCTCAGTAGGAAGACCCATCTTGGCATAGTCTCCTGGTTATGCCTCAGAAAATCCAAGGTCCCCAAGTGACTGGCAAATGTATATTAATGTTATAGGCATTTTTCTAAAATGTAATGCTTCCACATGTAATTATTTTAAAAGATACATCAAAATGAATACATTTAAGGAAGCAACACATATTTTAAGACACTATCAAATTTGGCCTTTGGAACCAAACTGACAAGGTGGCCAGGTCTTGTTCTCTTACTATATTTAATCTTACTTGGGCTAGCTGAAGGATAATACATGCTAAGCTGTACGATACATTCTTCTCACTTGACTCCTTTCTTGGGATTTGAGCAATCCTTGAGTGTTGGAAAATGATCCCTGTGTCTTTCTGGGAACTTTCTGCAGTGCTGGTTCTGCACTTCCTACCTTCCCCCAGCTCTGGCTCTGGAGAATCCTACCTTCCACCATTCTTTATAAAATTTGAATTTGATTTCATGAGATACAGTCACCAGTTGAATTGTGATACCTGGAGATGGTGCTTACTAGGCTAGATATTCGGAATATTAGAGCAAACAAGAGTGACCTCATTCCTACTCTCAAGGAGATATCAGACCATGGAAAGGAGACTCCCAGTGGACTTGGGAAGGTGAAAAGGGGGTGAGGAAGAAGCCAGAGAGGTAGATATGTTTAGAAGGCTGTAGGTGGCCTGGTCTTTATTCTATAGACCATTGAGGAAAAGTCATATAAAGGTTTTGTATAGGATAATAAAGTAGGCTGGGCTCAACAAAAGGACTAGAAAGGTAATATAATAAGCTGGGTTAGTGTTTTCAAAGTGATGTCCTTGGATCAGTAGCTTCAGCTTCACCCAAGAAGTGAAAAAAAACCAAGTTCTTGAACTTGACCTGGAACAAGTGAATCAGAAATTCTGAGAGTGAGGCTCTTCAATTGGAGAAGCACTATGCCAGAAAAAGTTTGGTGAGGCCTTGAATTACTACAGGTGGAAAGGTAAAGAACATAGCTGGCATTAGACAGTCATACATGAGTGCCCAACCCTGGAATACTGTGATATGGTGTTGTGGTCTGTATATATTTTGGGCCACATTCTATCTTGGGATTCATGAAGCATCAGGTTGGTCATGCTTGAGAGCTAAAATTGGAGGCTGAGTAGACAGACAGACAGATAGATAGATTTGGTTGATTGCAAATAGATGATAAGTGACACCATGGATTTGCAGATTCCCCCACCATGAATAGAGAAACCATTTTCTAAAATATTGACCCATTTATTTCATCAGAACATCTTAAATGTATAACAATCACAACAACAACCACTTGCAGAGAATTAAGAGTGCTTCACTCCATCTAAACCAGATACTCATTTTTAAAGATCTGGATAGATGTTAGGCTAACTTATTTTCCTATTTCTTGAAGGTTCAACATGGCAGTTGAAGTGATAAAGAATTTGGCCATCAAAGTCTCGCCATGTAACAGTAAGTTCAGTGTGCTCCTGACACTGTATTCACAACTTGCTATTGTAAACAACTGCATTAATTTGAGCCATATTTATTCTGCCTTAAACATTTTGAGCTCTCATTTTCTGGGACAAATGAGCTACCTTGGGTTTTAAAGAAGGAATTTTATTCATGGAAAAATTTTAATTATAAATATATTTATTTTAAGATTTTTTTTGTTTTATGTGCATTGGTTTCTCATCTGCACGTGTGTCTGTGTGAGGGTGTCATATCACCTGTAACTGGAGTTACAGACAGTTGTGAGCTGCCATGTTGGCACTAGGAATTGAACCTAGGTCCTCTAGAAGAGGTTATTTCACTCTGTGTCAAATGGAGAGTTAAAGCTAACTAGTCCACCTACCCAGGTGGAACATTCAGTATGAGTTGATGAAGACAGCCAGGCTATGTCAATAGTGGAGTGTTCAGAACAAGGCAATCATGGTCCTGTTGTTTTTCAGCAGACAGCAGACCACAGTGAGGATGTTATGTTCAGTCTTAGGCACAGTGGAATATTTCAAGTGTTATTATTATTAACCAGAAATCATAATTTTGGCACAAACAGTGTAGGCCTCTTATTTCCCAAGTGTGTTTAAGCTCTTTCATGAGTTAACAGCTTGAGAATAAGGAGACTTGACGTTTCACCAAAGCCAATGTAATTGTTGAAATATTCATCTGGACCTGAGCCCTGTCTACAGTTTCTTCCCAGCTTCAGTTTACTGTCTCACCTCTAAATGGCTCTGGGGACAAGGTAGATCCCAGGAAAATACTGCAAAGGCTCAAGAGAAAAGGGATCCCTGCTCTAAGAGCATCTACCCTGTGAGAGCTTTTTATTCACCCCTTGAACATGATTTTGTTAAATAAATATTTGTAGAAGAAAGGGAGGCCGATCTAGAGAATAAAACAAAGATGGAAGAAAAAGAGGGAGAAGAGGATGAGGGAAGTATTTGCAATATTTCAAGTATTTTCTGATAATAAAAATTACTGAGTCTGGGATTTTTTATTATTTATTGCTAGGGAATGAAATCAAGAAAAAGAAATGTCAAATTGGAATGAAGACTCCTTTCCCTAGTGGCTATATTTTCAAAGGAAGATGGATTTCAACATTTTGCAAACAGAATGAGTTCAGTGAGATGCAAGACATAAATAACTGCTTGACAAGAAAACTGATTTACCTCATGGGTGATTCCACACTGCGTCAATGGGTGTACTACTTACAAAAAGCTGCAAAAAGTATGTTTTATTTTTAATTTGAAATTATAGTCAACTGTTGGGGCATTTTAAATAATAATAATTAGAATTCTTTGTTCTTCTCTGATATTTATTTTATTACTACTGTCAATATGCCAAACTTCTGGCTTTAAGCTGTTTTTATTTTTACAAAAGGTTTATTAATTCTTTTTCTTGACATCTATGGATGTTTTGCCTGCATATATAGTCTGTGTACCATGTGAATGCAGTGCCCATGGGGACCAGAAGAGGTCATCAGATCCCCTGGAATTTGAGTTCCAGTTGGTTAGAAGTGACTATGTTGGTGTTGGGAATCTAATCTGGGTCTTCTGGAAGAACAGCTTTTAACTGCTAAGCCATCTCTCTAGCCCCAGGCTTTAAGTTTTAATAAAAGTTATTATTTAGTTATTTAATCATAGACACTATTTATATATTCTGATACAAATTTCAAAATTTTGTGGAGGTTTTAAGGCATCTGATAAAAATTCTCTGCCTTGTAAAAGTACCATTGTTCAGTTAGAAGTAATCATGGTCAGAGTTTTACAGATTGTGTGCATTTTCAAATTATGCTATTTCTTTTTATTAAGAGATTTGTTGATTTGTTTCCCAACAGCCCTGACATTTTTTGACCTGCATGGAGCTGGGTTATTTCAAACTCATGTTCTTCTGGATATTAAACAACATATTTTGATACAGTGGAAAAAACACAGCCATCCCTTTGTTACTCAAACGTTGTACTCTTTGAAAGATGACAACTATATCCCTCGGGAAATTGACCAGGTGGCAGGAGACAGTCGCACAGCAATTGTTGTTAGTTTGGGCCAACACTTCAGACCCTTTCCCATCAACATTTTCATCCGTAGGGTCATCAATGTCAGAAAGGCCATAGAGAGACTGTTCTTACGAAGCCCAGAGACCAAGGTGATAATTAAGACCGAAAATATCAGAGAAGTAAGTGAAAATGCAGAGATATTCAGTGACTTCCATGGAAACATTCAGAATCTTATTTTAAGGGACATTTTCAGGGACCTTAACGTGGGTATTATTGATGCTTGGGACATGACCATTGCATATTGCAGTGAGAACACCCATCCACCTGACAACGTGGTTGCAGGTCAAGTCGCTATGTTCTTAACCTACATTTGCTAGAGGATCTTAAGGTGCAGAAAACATCTCTAGCCCTTCCTACCCCTGCTCTCTCCAATCTCATATGTACTGCACAGACAATGCAATCAAATTTATGAAGAAAGGAATATTGAGAATTATAGTTAAGTGTACATAACATGAAATTTACCATTCAAACCATTTTCAATCCTATAACTCAGTGGTGCTAATGAAGTCCTATGTCACACCACCATCATTTTAATCCATTTTGAACAATTTTCTTCATCCCAAATAGAAATAGCAAACCTATTTATTAAATAACCACTCACCACTTCCCCGACCCACAGCCCCTGGCATCTACAACTATATTTTCTTCCCCTATGAATTTGACTGTTTTAGACATCTCATATAAATGAAATAATAAAATTCATGTGAATTCATGTCTGGATTATTTTACTTGACACAATGTCTTTAAGGTTCACCCATATCAAATGTACGCGGATGTCCTCCTTTTTAAAGAGTGAATATCATTTCTCTCTATGTATGTACTGCACTTCGTTTATCTGTTTATTTGTTGATGAACATTTAGTTTGTTTTTGTCTTTTGGGCATTGTATATCATGACGCTGTGAAGAGGCATGCACATTGAAAGGCGTGTTTCCACTTCTAAGCTTGATGTTTAAATAGTAAATCATCATTATCCATTTCTTATTTTTTAAAGTGTCTTTTTATTATTTATGTATTGGTGTATTGGTGAGTGTGTCTGTTAGTAATGTCAGGTATGTTCGAGGATGCCTGCAAAAGCCAGAAAGGGCTTCTGTGGAGCTGGAGTTACAGGTTGTGACTTGCCCAATGTGGGTGCTGGGAACTGAACTCTGGTCCTCTGAAAGAGTGGAAAGTGCTCCTAACCATTGAGCTACCCCTCCAGCCAACATTATCCTAACTTTAAAGGAAGGTGCAGTCCAGAAACACATAGCTTAAGTGATCTGATCAGAGAAAATGTAATGCATAGAAGAAAAAATTTCAGGACCACAATAGTAGTCTTCTTGCTTAGAAAAATTCCTTAAGATTTGATAAGCAGTTGTTCGACTCCACTGTAGTTCTACAGCCACAGTCCAAATCCTGCAAACTCACTGAACAAAAACCAGCTTTGATTCTGATTCTAGCTGACCCAAGAAGTGTGATATGGGAGTCCTTCCAGGGACCTCAAAAGACTTCATAAGCTTCACCCTAGAGACTTTCTCTTGACAGAAAACACAGTTATCTACTTCTCAAGACTTGGTATATTTTTATTAAGGATAATTCCCAAGTTTGGGTTGTGTTTGTGTGTGAAAAGAAGTAAAACTATAATGTTATTACATTAACACAATGGTCCGGTCATACATCTTTGGACTAGACTCGAAACAAGTGACAATAAAAATACAAAAATCAAATTTTCTTTCTTTCAGATTGATTTTATTTTTAATTGTGTGGGTGGGTGTATGGGTGTGTACATATAATCACAAGTGCCAAGGAAGCCAGAAAAGAGTGTTATATCCTCTGGAGCCGGAATTACAGGTGGGCGTAAGCTGCCTAATGTTAGACTAGGAACTAATCTCAGGTCCTCTGGGTCTTGTCCTTTCTTTTTCCCGTGTGTGTGTGTGTGTGTGTGTGTGTGTGTGTGTGTGTGTGTGTGTGTGTGTGTAAAAGGGCAACCTTGGATGTCTGTCAGGTGTCTTCCATTTTCTGCTTTCAATATGGTTGAGGTTCCAATCTCTGCTTTACCATCACTGGAATTGTAAGCATATATCACTACACCATTAAAACAAGGATTCCGAGGAATGGAACTCAGGTCCTCACACTTGCAAAACATGCACTTTACTAACTAAGCATCTCCCAAGGCCCTCAAAACTTACTCTTGAATTGAGCTCCTGATAGGTTCTCATTCTTCCCCTAGGGAGCTTCGATAGAAACCTTGTTGCTCTTCCAAACATCATGTCATTAGTTGTTTACGTTTCCATCTTCACACACATGCTCAAATTCCTTCATTGGAGTTTTGGTGTGATTTGGTTTCTAGTCTCCTTACTCTGTTTCTTCAAATGCAACGGAGTTTCCTTAAATTACTCACAACAGGCTTTCTACAGACCCCAGTTCTCACCGAACAGCCTGCATCCTCTAGTTTTAGTCCTCCCTGAATAACTACTACTTCTCTCCCTCTGCAGCTGTGCTGTATCACATGATAGACATAGTCACATGTCATTGTTGAGATTAAAACTCAATTCAGTTGTTCTTTAGGAGCCCTGGTCACATTCCGGGGAATCAATACCCACAGCAGTAAGGGATCCTGTACCACAGCGGTGTTTGCTTAAATTTTTCTTTAGATGGTGTTTTTCATATTTTGTTAGAATATTTGAGTGTTTTTCAAAAACAAATCCAGTGTGATCTGAGGAAAGGGCTCATTTGGGAGGTTGCTTGACTAACAGGCATGAGGTCCTGTTCTGATCAGAAACACCACGTAAGCTGGCCATGGTGGCACATGCGTGTAATCCCAGCATTCAGGAGATGGCAGCAGTAAGGTCAGGAGTGTAAAGTCATCCTTGGCTACATAGCAAGTTTGAGGACAGCCTGGGCTATAAGACCCTGCTGTATCAGTCAATCAATTAATCAATATAGTGATAGTTCAAATTTTTTATACTGAATTTAAAAAAAGCTATCAGATGTTGGTGGAAAACTCTTGACTTTTAAGTCATTTACTTATTTATTCTTTTAAAAGAAATCCTTGGCTCTAAATAGCTCATAGTGTTCTACCCTTGAAGTGATAGCTTTACATTACAGTAGATATTGATTATGCTGTTAACATATAATGACTTGAGCAAGTCATTTGAATTCATAGAAATACCCTTTACTGTTATTAGCAAGCTTTTTTTGAAAACCCATTTCTGCACAATGGAGTGAAACGAAACTAGAAATCAATAGCAGAAGGGAAAAACATCTCATGCCATGTAGAAGTTAACAGTGTCCTTTTAAAGAACTGGTGGGTCAAAGAGGCATACGCAGGGGGATTTTCAAACTATCTGAGACAAAGAGGGAGCCCCATCAGGTCAAGTGTATGGAGCAGAAGGAGAGCCGTAGTAAAAGGGAGGTCCTAGAAGGAAATGTGACAGTCAACCACCTGACTCCACACCTCAAAGAACTAGACAAAGAAGAAACTAACCCTAAGTAGGCAGAAGGAGAGGGAAATAGTTTAAGAGAGAGATCAAGGAGATAGAGTGTAGAATAAACATAACAAAAAGCTCAAAAAAGTAAATTGCTTTTGTTGAAAATGTAAAACAACAACAACAAAAACCTTCTAAAGGACAGGAGAGAGAGAGGGGGGAGAGGGAGAGAGAGAGAGAGAGAGAGAGAGAGAGAGAGAGAGAGAGAGAGAGAGAGGAGAGTGCGCTAAAATTAGAAATGGAAAAGAGTACATTAGAACTGATGTCCCAGAAATAAGGCCTATAAAGGATGACTACAAACAGTTATGTTCTGGAGCTCAGTGATAAGGGCTGTGGATGCTCTTGTAGAGCACCCAGGTTCAATTCCAAGCACCCACATGGAGACTCACAACCATCTGTAACTCCAGTTCAGGGGATCTGATTCCTCCTTCTGGCCTCTGTAGGCATCAGGCACATCCATGGTGTATCTTCACACAGACAGCCAAAACACTCATACACATAAATAAAACCTTTAAAGAATGATTATTTAAAATCAGTTATGTACTAGTGAATTCTATAACTCCGAGAAAGTTGAGAAATTTCTGAAAATACACAACCTATAAAGGTTAAATCATGAAGAAATAAAAACTTCCAAAACACTTGTAACTGGAAGGGCAGTGAGACTTGCGCATAAACAAATGTTAGGACTAGCTGGTTTCACAGGAAAACCCGCCAAACATTGAGAGGACGAACATCAATTCTTCTCAAATTCTTCCAATGAACAGAAGAGGAAGAGGCACCCCCAAACTCACTTCAGGGGGCTAGCTTTACCCAGATACAAAGCCAGACAGGTTCTCAACAGGGGGAGGAAACTAGCAGCCATTCCCCCCCCCCCCCCCCCCCCCCCGCACACATATTCAAAACCCTTTGGGTGTTTCCTAGAAAACTGAGTTCAGCAACTCATTAAATGGACCACACCGCCAGGTGGTGGTGGTGGTGGTGGTGGTGGTGGTGGTGGCGCACGCCTTTAATCCCAGCACTCAGGAGGCAGAGGCAGGCGAATCTCTGTGAGTTGGAGGCCAGCCTGGTCTACAGAGTGAGATCCAGGACAGGCTCCAAAACTATACAAAAAAAAAAAAAAAAGGACCACACACCATAAGGAAGAAAGGGGGAGGAGGGTTATGCTTGGACAGGAAGATGATTAAACCTATGAAAGTCAGTCAGCTTTTGGGGGCACCTTGTTAACAGACCAGAGGACAAAGGGACAGGATGCATTTCAACAGACAAGGAGCAAGCACTTGACAAAGTCAACATCCCTTTTCGAGAAAAACATTCCAGTTCTTAACAGTAGGAAGTCACCTCAAGGAAGCAGGATGAAAAACGTCATGGAAAAATTATGCTCAGTTGAAAAGAACTCAAAGTTCAGTTTCTAAAGCCAGGAACAACACAGAAATTGTTGAACTTCACAGACACTGTTACATTAACAGAGTACTACTAGTTTTAGTAAGAGAAATTAGGAAGGAAAAAGAAATACCAGACCGCAGAAAAAGAAGCGAATAAGGCTGTCATTGGTTAGTGAAGACACTGTTTTATATTTAGAAAATCCTGAAGATTCTGAAAAACACTGATAAGAACTAATAAAGTTAGACAAAAACTACTTTAAGGGTAAGACCCTATGAAACCGCCCCTTCTCCTGTTAGCATGCTTATTAATATTGCCATTGTTTGGGTCTTGTTTAGGTATCACGGGTGTAACTTCCCCACCATTTCTAGGAGACACAATCTCATATTAGACTTCCTAGTCCTCTGGCTCTTATAATCTTTCTTCCCACCTCTTCCCACCATGTTCCCTGAGTCTTAGGTGGAGGAGCCATGTTGTTGATGTAGCAGTTGGGGCTAGGTACTGTGTGGTCACTTGTCTCATCGGAGATAGGTCAAATTTCTCAGGTGCTAATTTGCCACGAGTCTGCCTTTGAATGGTGTGATCCTTCTATCTGCTCCTGTGGAGTTTCTAATACAGGGGGGTTATTGCGGATTTCTTTGGTGGCAGAATCGAGATCCTCAGAGGTTTCAGTCAATGGTTGCTTAGACCCATTGCTCTCTGGGCCTTTGGTGAGGTGGAGTCGTGATGGAGCAAGAGTATGTAGTCCAGAAAGCTGCCGCCCCTCTGGAGGGGGGTCCCAGTATCTCCTTCAAGAGCATAGCCCCCCTGTCACCTTCCATTAGGCCCAACTCCTGAAAGAAGTTCCACCACCTCCCTGGAGAGCCACAAGTTGGGGGCTACATTTTCAAGATGGAAATAACCAGGCTTTTAGAGGACATTCTAGATACGAACTACAGCAAATGGATTAAAAAAAGACCAACAGAATGAACGGATTATCCTCCAAAGAAGACATACAAATGGACCACAAACACATGAAAAGGCGCTCAAAACCACTAGTCACGAGGGAAACGTGTTTCGGTACCACAATGAGATGGCCCTCTTACCCATCCAGATGGCTGCTATGGAAAGAGCAGATGTGTGTGAGGATGTG